ATGCTTTTTGCATTGGCTTTAATTGTTTTTAGCTTTTAAGGCAACATTGTGGTACAAACTAGTGTCAGGTAATGTGTTTTAGTATCATACATGTATTGTTGGTTTTATATTCCTCTTTCATCATCCTGACAACCAATCACTGATCACCCTTCAGAATGAACCAACCAATGAAAAAAGCTTGAAGCAGCTGAGCAAACCTCTGAGGAACCAACAGGCGAGTGAGTTTAAGAGCAGCAGAAAGAGGACTGAGCACCTGCACAGACAGGGTGACGAGAATCGGTCACCTTCTCCTTCTCTACCCCAGCTTCCTCACTCTGCCTCTCTGTCCTCACCCCCTCATCTCCCCTCTCCTTCCCCTGCACCTCTGTCTGCAGAGGAGAGGCCTACTGATGAGGAGACCTTAGATGCCAGAGAGACACTGTTTGCAGAAGGTGAGGAGGGCATTAAACACAAATGAACATGCAGTGACAGTATAATACAATGTCAACTATACTATACTTTTATCTCGTTGTATTCTAGTGACTGTTTTTGGAGACAGGGAACTCGTCCACCTTTCTCCTCCTGAAAACTCCACATCTCAACTCTGTGACTCCGCCCCTTGCCAAGTTCCCTTACCTGCGGAGCCAATCAGAGATAGTAGCACGTCAAGACCAGTCCGAAATACGCACCTGCTCAGGACTACTCAGTCAGATGGTGCTGCAGACCCCGGGTCAGACTGCTTCAAAGGCGCCCGACGCCAGGAAGATTCTCATCACCTGAGCATCAACGAGCGACTGGAGAAGCTGCAGACGTTTTATTCGTCCGAGAAGAACGCCACGTCTCCCAGGACGCTCCTGGACACTGACACGCGCACCACACACTCCTCAGACAGAGGCCACTTGGGTTCTGTTGAGGCGTCACAGACATCGCCCTCTTCCCCCCTTCCACTCCTCAACAACGTGGCGCTTAAAGATGGGCGGGGAAGGAAGATGACATGGGCAGGGCTGACCCGACCCGGGCCCCCGAGACTCCTCGTGAATGGGTCTAAACCTCCTGCTTTCCCCTCACAAAGACAACATACTCTGGTCTTCAAGAACCTCAGGCAGGAGAGGGGAAGGAGGAAAGAGCTGTCTGCAGCACGAGGAGAGAGAGTAGCAGGAGGGATCAATGGAGCCAAGAGGAACTCAATTCAGTTGCGCTCGTCTCTGCAGCGCCGCGTGACAGACCTGAACCTTCCACTGCTTTCTGCAGGCCTGCAGGGGAAACCCGACAGGAAGAGTCAGCTACACAGCATGGACTACTGACACAAAGATGACAGGATCTGATAGTATTTCAGGGACAGTAACTAAAGACGTATTCAGTAAATACTGGTGTCAGCAGAA